AAAGAAAGAAAATGTTCTAGAGATAACACAGATAGAATTAGACAAAGGTGTTAGCATGGTTATTAAAATTATATATGTTTAATAAACTACATGAAAGAGTGATATAAAATAACACAGAAAATTCATTATATACATATATATGTATACAATGTATAGTAAAGATCCTAATTGAACTACTAGAGATAAAAACAATGAATGAGGGCTGGAGAGATAGTTCAGTAGAATAAGCACCTGCCTGGCAAGCACAAGGTCCTGAGTTCAATCCCTGGTACCGAAAATAAATAAATAAATAAGATTTAAGAACACACTCAGTGGCATTTATAATAATCAGACAAAGAGAAAAATGATTAATGAACTTGAAGACAAAACAATAAAAACTATTTGAAGAAAACAAGACTTAAAAAGAACAGAGCACCAGTGAGAGGTGAGGTAGCTTCTAGTAATCTAACATCCATGTCATCCACGTAACTGACATCCACGGGAGGAAGAGAAGAAAAACTAATTGAAGTAGCCCCAAACTTCTCAATTTCATTAAAAATATGAAGCCAAAGATAGCACAAATACAATGAACCCAAAACACAAGACACATAAAGAAAGCCATTGTATGGCACATCATAAATCATTTAAATCAATGATTAATAATTTTGAAAGAAGTCATAGAGAAGTCCGTGTACACAGGAATAAAGGATAGAACTGATTGTTTTGTTGGACAGTGGGGAAACATTTTTAATATTCAGGAAATAATTTTAAAATTATTCAGCAAAAATATGTTTCAGATATTCTACTCTATAATACCAATGTGAGAAAAAAGCTATAGTAGTTCTTACTTGAAGCCATGTAATTCCAGCCACATAGAAGACTTAGAATGGAAAGGCTTGGGCTATTGACAGGAGCAGCAGAGGTAAAAGTTATTTCAACTACAATAAGAACCCAGGGCCTGGATGCTTGTATTCATCACACTAAATGGGAGCAACAGTAAGAATAGAGGAACAGGATTTCTAGAAAATTTAGACAAGGACTTGAGCCAAATACCTTGCTTGCTAGACTCCTGATTTTTCCCATGGCTTGTGTGGTCTGGGGAAAGAGTACTTTGGTAAATTTTTTTTTCCATTTCAAATATTTCCAACAAAACAGACAGTAAAAATACATGATCAATTTTGTAGGCTGCCTGCACCTTCTATATAAATAGAAGAGAGAATGAGAAGTGCTGACTTCTCAGAAAGATCTGAACTAAGTTTTATTTAGTTTTTCAAACTAACCTGGCTGGCTACAAAAGATGGTAGACCACAACAATTATCTAGCACAATACAGCCAGTGGATTATTAGATTGAGCCATTCAAGGCTTTCTTGGCTTGGTGTGGAGGACTAGGACTGCTCTTCACTCATTACTACACACACACTGTACTTAGCAGTACATAATAAAGTCACAGGTACAAACAGCACCATGCTCTTCTGGAGCTTCCAAGAGTGGATACTGTGAGGAGCACAGGAGAACAGAGAGTATGGGCAACACATATGCAGTACAGACACATCAGGAATTATGAAGACTAGGCATCTTTAAGAAACAGGATCATTTTAAAACTATGGGATTTGTAAAACAGTACGTATGACGATTTTTATTTTCCTTTAGGTCTCTGGTCTGTATCTCTTTGAATTTCAGCTTTGAAACATGAATAAGTGGCATCACAAAGAAGAAACTCTGCTGAAACAAGGATAAGAAAAAGAAACTGTCAGGCTCTTGCATCCCTCCTGTGAATCAATCAAGCAGAAAGCAAGTGTCTGGCCTTTCCAGCATGTGTAAACCAGTCTATGAGCTTTCCCCTACCTACTTTTTTTTTTTAATATTTATTTATTTTTATTTATTACATTTATTTATTGTGTGTGTGTGTGGCCAGCTCAGCCCACCAGGGGGCGGGTCTGGCTGGCATGTGGTGCTAGGGATCGAACTGCGGTCCCTGTGCTTTGCCAAGCTTGTTTCAAGTAGGTGCTTTAGACCACTGAGCCATCTCTCCAGCCCCTCCCCTACCTACTTTTAATCACCTGTCTCCCGTAGCATGCTCTCCCTGAATTACCAAACTCCAACCACATTGCTTGTCTTTCTAAAACATAGCCCAACCCACGTCCCCACTCATCTTCTGTACTTGCTATTCTTTCTGCCTGGAATGCACTCCCCCAGACCTATGACTCTCTGTCACCAACACAAATCTCAGATCAAATGTTACCTAATCAGCAAGGCCTTCCCCAACCATTTTCTCCAAAGAGCTTCTTTACCCCTCATTCTCTATTCTATTATATACACTTTTCCCCTGCATAGAGCTAATCACAGTAGAAAAGACTTCTGCTTTTTCATTTGTCTGCCCCTTTACCAGAGGGAGAAAACCATCAGGAACGCTTTGCTTTTCACTGCTTATAACTCAAGTGCTCCGAATAGTGCCTGGTACAGAGTGGGTACCCAGTAAATATTTCTCTCCTCTGCTCTCTTCAAACCTCAGTTCAGTATTCAGTGATCTGTCATTTTCCTTTGTAAGATTATTTTTGAGGGCTGGAGAGATGGCTCAGTGGTCTAAAGCACCTACTTGGAATAAGCTTGGCAAAGCACAGGGATCGCGGTTCAATCCCCCAGCACCACATGCCAGCCAGCCACGCCCCCTGGTGGGCTGAGCTGGCCACACACACACACACAATAAATAAAAATGTTAAAAAAAAAAAAAGATTATTTTTGACTATTGGTGGATTTACTTTTTAAAAAATCTGACCTATGTTTTTAAAAAATGTGTATGTAGTAGTACCATATACAAGACTTTAACATAAAAAAAGAACATAACCAGGTGAGGTGACACAGGCCCATATCTCAGCACTTTTTGAAGGCAAGATGATCAAAAGTCTGAATCCAGACTGGGTTACTTAGCAAGACCTTGTCTAAAAATTAATAATAACAATAATAATAATGTGATAGGAATGCAGATAAGTAAAGGTCTTAGGTTCAACTCCCAGAGCCACACACACAGGGGAGGGGGGGAAGACCCCAATTTTATTATTTTGTAACATAAAGACCAGTTAATAACTTATGCCCCAGAGATTTTCAGCAGCCATATAATCAGTCCAGGAGTAATAATTTTAATCTGATTCCTCTTCCTAGGTCTTAAGTGGTGAAGTCTTTTGGGGCTAAGAATTAAGAACTCACCTGGTTCCAAGACTCCACCTCTTTGTTCATCAACTCAATTTAAACAGGATCATGGGGCTGAAAATCCACTGTTCCTGCTTCCAATTAAAATAGTTCACTGGGTCAAACGTAGGATGGTCCAAGTGTAGTACGGTCAATAAGAGCAAGAAAGGGCAGCTAGACTGTTTCTCAATTGATTCATGGGCTGTTTCCACGAAATGAAAGATTACTGGTCTTCTTGGCAGCTGGCTGACTGGAAGCCAGGAGCACTTCCACCCTGGCTAATGGCCACAGCCCTGGAGTATTTCATCGAGTCGTTTTCACGTTCTGGCGAGAAGCCTGCTTGTCCTGCCGGGCCGTGCTCTCCACACTGTGCAGAGATGTCTCCACCAGGAGGGATGTGGCCCTGATGTGGCGGGAGGACGTTTCTGTGCGCTGCGAGGAGGTCTCCACGTGCCGGGAGGCCACCTCAAGGACATGAGGGGGCCGCTTTCCGAAGGGGTAACGAGGAGGCTCTTCATAGCGGCGCTGGGTGGTCTCCACCTGCCGGGAAGACGTTCGCACCTGCCGAGAGGTGGTCTCCACTCGGTGGGACGAGGTCTCCACGCGAACTGTTGACGTCTCTTTGCAGTGGGCAGTCTCCACTCGTGGAGCCGAGGGTTTTCCCTTCCGAGGTGAGGCCATTCTTCTAGGGTGCGTGGGCCAAAGAGTGCAACAGGGCTCCGCAGGCCTCACAACTCACTATTCCACCCTCAAGCCAGCTCTGTGTTACGCCATAGAGTACAATGACGTCAGAGCGGCCTGTGACGTCATCGCAGGCTCAGGGTACAAAAGTAGGCCACTGTTTTAAGACACGATGATGTGCAAGCACCATGGTTCTGTGGGGGCTAAACTGTCCCTCCAAAACACTGAGCCCAGCCCTTCACATGCTCCCTCGGTAGCGACCCGCCTCCTCGCCGTTTGGGAGCCAGCAAAGGCGTGCCCGGGCTGGGCTAGGAGGTTTGCGATGGGCGGAACCGACCGCCTAGGGGCGGGGTTATGACCACCCCTTACCCACACTGCCTCGCGAGCGACCGGAAGGGGAGGCCGTGGCTTCCGGAATCTCCCCGGCCGCTCGGGGTGGTTCATCTGTGGTCCAAGCCGGGATTTAGCGTGTTTGCTGGTGATGGCCGCTGCTGTCGCTATGGAGACAGGTGCGTACTGCGCTGAGGCACTCTGGTCTTCGAAGGAGGTGCTGTCCTCGGCTCAGACCTCTTCTGCTTCCCCCGGGCCTCCTGTCAGGCCTAACGCGCTGAGGGGTTAGAATTGGAACTGGGAGGGAAAGGGTCTCTTTCAGCGTCTGGAGGGGCTAAGTCAGTTTTGCCTTTTGCAAAATTTGGTTTGGTCGAACTTCATTTCATCTAGTGTACTGTTCAGATAGCGACTCTGCGAACCGGCTCCCTGGCGTAGGCTACACTACTGAGATGTTAAACTGTTTCTTTTTATTGTTTTTTTGTTTCTCGTATGAGTTTGAATGTTTCAAATATCGCACTTAAGCTTGTGTGCCTTTCAGCTGTTAGTGAGCCTCACCATCCCCACCCCCAGTACTAGGCAAGCGCTCCACCTTTGAGCTACACCCCGGTCCTTTTTGAGACAAGGGTCTTTTAACCCGCCTAGGTTGGTCTTGGTTTTGAATTTAGGATCCTCCTAATTCAGCCTCCGGAGTAGCTGAGATTACACATCTGCACCACCACACCTGTCTGACACGATCTTCTATTCATTTTTTTTCTGAACTTTTTTCCTGATAGACTGAGCATTGTTTTTGCCCAACTTAATCGCTGTGAGCAAATGTGGTTATAAAATATTAAAAGAGGAAGACTTGAGTTATTACAACCTACATCAGTGATCATTATTAACACACCTATATGGTGGCCCACGAGTTGTTGTTAACCAGTCCATTTGTTCTCTTGTTTTTCTTTTTTTTTTTTTTTTTTTTCTTAATCTGGTTTTATTACTACCAGCAGAAGTGGCAACGTGGGGATGGTGTGTGATATAGGTTATGGCCCTAGTATGAATTGCTGAATTATGGTGGCCATCTAATATGACTGAAGCCCTTAAAACAACAGCTTGTCTTCCCAAAGACCACCTCCTCCTTTCTTCTCCAACTCAGCCCAGGATGCAACTTCCTTTCACCTTTCCCGCCTCCTCAGGGAAAGCCCCAATCAGCTACTCAGGTATATCTAAACATCCCCTTCAAACTCCACCCCTGACAAAAGGCTGTAAAAGCCTCAGCCTCCATTTGTCCCAATCCAGAGAATTTATCTTTCCCAAATTCGCTCCGTGTCCTCCAAGATAATAAAGTTCCTTTCCCTTTTTACTTCTGCCTATTTCTCTTGCTCTGCCACTGTCGAAAACCTGGTGGTGTGTGGGCCAGAAGGGGGTGATATCAGTGTCTGACAGGGGACGGTGTGAGGCCAGGCCCAGGCTCATTTTTGGTTGAAGGAGGAATGGCAAGCTATGACTAAACCACCAGTAAAGTTAAGAAATTCTTGGAAATCTAGCTTCCCGTCACTGTTGAGGTCTAGCTTCTTCATCATGCTGTCAAGAACATCAGGGTCCTTCTGTTGCTTTGTAAAAGCAGCCAGTTCTTTATTCATGAATGTTAAGAACTCTGTCTTGCAGAGTGTGGCGCTGTCTCCATCCCTTCCAGCTTACTTCTGGAAAACAGCAATCAGGGAATCACGCACTGCGCAGTTTCTCTAGAGCTGTACATTTTTGTGGAGCAGGTTGGAGCAGAGCAGAGTGGAGGTCGGGGTGCTGAGGCTGTGCTGAGTCCATTTGACTGCTTTTTTTTTTTTTTTTTTAATTCTTTTTAACATTAAAGATACTCTTAACATTCCTTTTAATCGGGGTTCTATTTTTCTTATATTTGTAAGGAAGGTTTCTTGTGTTATACTCAGATTAGGAAGACCACTCTTTTATTTTCATAGAAGAGTGTATCAGCATTAGTTAGGTTCCTTGATGTTTCCTTTTTACAAAAGTACCCTTTATTTTAAATACTTTTTGCTGTCTTCTCTCCTAGATGATGCTGGAAACCGACTTCGGTTTCAGTTGGAGTTGGAATTTGTTCAGTGTTTAGCCAACCCAAATTACCTTAACTGTAAGTTGTTGAGCAATTAATTGAGTAGACAGCTGTTATTAATTTCTGACAGAAGAAGTGCACTTACCTTTATATATTCTCAGTGGACTGGGATTGTACTTAGGCTTGCCTGTAGGTATAGCTGAGCAAACCAGGGATTCTGCTTTGACTTCATTGTATGCTGCCAGTGGGGACGTTAAATAGATTCTTTATATTAGGGATACAAGTCAGTAGTACAAGGATTGGTTTGATGTACAGTTTTTTCTTCTTTAAATGTTTTTCAGTTCTTGCCCAAAGAGGTTACTTCAAAGACAAAGCTTTTGTTAATTATCTTAAGTACTTGCTTTACTGGAAAGAACCAGAATATGCCAAGTATCTAAAGTAAGTTTACTTTTTATAATTCTAAATATGTGTATACTTTATTGTAATCCAAAGTACTGATACTTAACAGACTTAGTTTAACACTGGAAAAATATTTTGAATCTCTCCCCTTCTACCACTTGAAGCAGTCACTTTTATCTTTATGTTGGAGGGAAGTAGGCTCTTTTAGTATTTGGAGGAATAAAGATGGTTTTGCCTTTTTTCAGAATATGGTCTGCTCAAATGTCATACTATTGACTCATTGACCCCCCAACTATATTTTGTGCTCCCATTCATAACCTGCTCCCTTTCGACCAAACAAAGCAAATCAGTGTTCCACAGAGAATCCAGGTTAGTCTCCCAAAAATATAAAAATCAGAACATACTATTTTTTTTTACTTAGATCCTTTCAGTGGCTTTCCATTAAAGAATGCTCAGAAAGTGGTACTTAAACAGGTATTTTCTGGAGGATGCAGTCATCTTTGAAGTTTAGTGATATTTTCCTTCGTTTTTGTTTTTGATTCAAGATCTTGCTATGTATTCCAGGCTGGCCTTGAACTCACTATGTAGCACAAGCTAGTCTTGTATTTAAAGCAGTCTTCCTGCTTTAGTCTTCTAAATGCTAGGATTACTGTATATGTCACCTGGCTGACACACTCTGTTCTTTAGGACCTCCTATGTGCCACACAAGGTGCCATGTGGTTCACATCCATGCACTGACTTAAAATATATAAATATATGTAGAGTATATATGTTTTACATATATGATATATATTATACACACAGAGGCATATACGTACTGTTCAGGTTGTTCAACAGGTACTTTTAAGACTTACTAAATGTCAGGAAGCATTATATCCACAATCAGATTCCAGGTTAATAGTTAAAAAAAAAAAAAAAACAAAACCCAAAACCATTAAATTCACGTGGATTATTCTGTGTCCAAGTCACTTTTCTGAGCTGATGAAGCATACATCCATCCATATGTTGCCTGTAGAACTTTTTGCACCCTGACAAGCTCTTTATGCTACTCTTGATTTAATAATACAAGGCAGGTTTTTTTTTAACCTTCTCTCCTTTCATACAACAAGAAAGCAACTTTAAAAAAATGAGATTATGATCCCTGGTCTGCATGCCGCACCGGCCCAGCCCCTGGGGCGTGCTGAGCTGGTGACCGAGTCCAGGCATGGTGGCTCACATCTGTAATCCCATTGCTGGTGAGGCTGAAAACAGGATCACTATGAGTCTGAGCTGCATGGTGAGACCCTGTACCAAATACATAAAATGAAAAAAAAAAAATGATGATAATTTGTATTTAAAGATTTGAACTCAAATGTGGCTAACCTTAGCCACCATAAGAGTCTCTGTCACCCAGAGTTGCTGAGAAGTGGTCCTCCACACTGTAGCTGGAGGTTTCCAGTGAGCCTTCTACTCCATCAAGGACAGCTGACTGCACTGTTAGACATTAGGAAGTTCTTTCTTACACCGTGCTAAAGTATACCTTCTTGTAGTTTTCACCTGTTGCTGTTTTCATTTTTGGATTCCTCCAGAACCAGCCTATGCTCTGTTGGAGACAACAGCTATATAGACACTTAAATTCAAAGAGCTGGATGTGGAGACGTGTGTAATCCCAGCACTCTGGGAACTGAGGTAGGAAGATCACGAGTTTGAGTCAGCCTTGACTTAGATCTTATCTCAAAATTAAAAAGTTCTGGGGATGTAGCCCAGTGTAAAGGCCCTGTGTTTAATCCTCTAACACAACACAAACAAACACACACACACACTTTGGATTAATCCGTTGGGTATGTCATCCAGTTTCAACAAAGTTTTAAGTTTTTTAAATAATTACCAACATTTAAAGACATAAGGCTAATATAACAATTCTGATTTTCAGCTACATTTTAAAAATTGGGAACAGCTGATAAGCCTAGAGCTTCATTTCCCAAATCATTCACTGGCTGGAGCTGAGGGCACCAGCTTCTTGTAGACATTATCTTCCAGTTGAAAACTAGTAATTGAGTGATAACAGCTCTCTTCTTAATTTGCTTTAGCCATCCAGACTTCTCCTATGAGTTCGGGCACTTTCTTTTGGATAGTTGGTACTTGTGCCTTAGATCATTCAACCAAGTAATAAATGGCCTTTAGATGTGGTTGTGGTATAGTGGACCAAGTGGCATTTCTTTTCTTCATGTGGATGTTAACATTTCTAATAAATCAGTTTAGGTGGACTTTTTTTTTGAGCTAGGGAGGGTAGGGGAGCCCACTGTTGGCTTACTGGGATCTTTGTGCCAACTAAAATCCTGTATTTTCATCTGTGTCATCATGTGACAAGATATGATTTATATCTTGTTTCTCTAAAAAAAAAATAAATAGAAAGTGTTGTTTTTGTACTTCTTTCATCTTGTTAACTTGAAACATATCAGAGAATATTGTAGCCTTTCAGAGACTTACTTGTAGTTCCTAATTCAGTCATCTAATGCATTCTGAGTATTGTTTTCAAGTTTGATATGATAAAAGATCACTGCCTGTTTAAATCCATTATTGACAAATGCAACTTGAGACCATTCTGTTGGTTTTAATTTTTTTTTTTTTACAGATGAAGAAGCTGAACTTAGGTTAAGTATCCTTTTCAAGGCTACCCAGCTGGTACTTGGATCCAGATTTTTTTAAGTACTGTTGCTGTCATGAAAAGGATTTAGTCAGGGCAATGGAAATGGAGCATTCTAGGTTAGGCTACCAACAATTTCAGGCCAGAGTATAAATAGCAAACCTTAGAACAGCATAGTACCAGCCTCAACATGGTTCTCTGTTTAATGTCTTCAGACCTGCAGTATTGGTATTGTTTGGGAACTTGTTAGAACTCACATTAGACCTACTAAGATGAGAGTCTGCATTTTAAGAACTGAGTTATATGCACTGCACATTAAAGTTTAAGAAAGATCGCTCAAATATACAGACTATTTCTCAAACCTCACTTTCGTATCACTTACACAGTTTTGGCTTTGTGTGTTCCTTATTTGATTTAATTTTGCCTTATGTGATTTAATTTTGATGTATTTGAAGTTACTTAAATTTTACTTTTCTGTTTTGGTACCAGGCATTGAACTCTTAGGAGCCATGCAGGTTCCTATGCTGCTGAACTATCTCCCAGGCCCTTACTTTTCAATTTGAAATAACTGCATTTATAAAAAGCTAGGAGAGGGGCGGGGGAGATGGCTCAGTAGAATAAGCGCTTGACTGACAAACGCAAGGATCTGAGTTCAATCCCCGGTTCCGCCAAAAAAAAAAAAAGCTAGGCGAGGGCTGGTGAGATGGCTCAGTGGTCTAAAGCACCTACTTGGAACAAGCTTGGCAAAGCACAGGGACCACAGTTCAATCCCCCAGCACCACATGCCAGCCAGCCCTGCCCCCAGGTGGGCTGAGCTGGCGCCACACACACACAAATAAATAAATGTTTAAAAAAAAAAGACTTAAAAAAATAATAGTTTAAAAAAAATAAAAAGGAGAATAAAGAGAATTTATTGTGTTCTTCACCCATATATTGTAAATGCCAGCATCATATATAGCCACGGTACATTGATCAAAATCACAGCATTAACATTAATCTTATGAGATATCCTACGTATCCCATTCAGATTTTACCAGTTCTGCTGGTCTCCTGTATATAATAATCAAATGAGCCAAGGCTCATATGCTACATTTTTTTATGTCTTGTGTTTGTGTGTGTGTGTTAGGATTTTCCTGTGCAATTCAAGGCTGGCCTTGAACTCATAGTAATCTTGTTTAAGCCTTCTAAATGCTGGAATTACAAGCATGTGACACCATGCCCAGCTTGTTACGTTTCTTAGTCTTTAATCTGTGTTCCTCGTTCTTTTAATCCGATGACCAAAATATAGAAATGGTTTATTTTTTTGTGTGTATTATCAGGAGTAACATAAAACCTATTTGTTTTATTATTGGTGACATTAATTTTGATCACTTGTTCAGTATGATGCCTTTTAGGTTTCCTTTTGTTTAAGTGTCTCATGGGAAAATACTTTGAGACTATGTAAATATTACATAAACTTTTTTGCCCACTAATTTTAGCGTACTTGCTTGAAAAAATTTTATTGTGGGATTTTCTAATTCTCTCATTTTACATTTATTAGTTGAGATATTATTGTAAGGAAAAACATTCCCTTGTTACTAAAAACATCAGTATGAACTTTTGTATTTTTATTCTGTAGATTATAATGTTTTTTGCTTGCTTAATATTCTAGTGTGGGAGCACCTTCGAAGTGGCTCCTGAGTACTTTTGACATATCACTTCTATTGTTTAGTACTGTATAACATTTCAAGTTTGTTTTGTGCTTTCCTGACCCTAGTCCTGGAATTAGCCATTTCTCCATAATACCCTGTAAAATGTTATTTGAAAACCATGACTGAAAAGTAAGTGTGGTCATTGGAACTCCAGTATCATTGCTTCTTGGCCTTTTCAGCTTATAAACTGGGAACTGTGTTTGTGTATGTCTATACATGTACACACAACACATCATGTCTTCTATGCATATTAAAAACCCATGAGTATATATTGCCATTTTCAGTTCCATTCCAGTGTCAAGGGGTTCATTCCAGCCTTCGCCCTTTCTTTGTCTATAAATCTTTTCTGAGAGTCAACAGTTTGGCCTCCCAAATTGTTGTTAGTCCCACATTAACTTAAAGTATGCATATTTGTTCAATTTTCAAGTATACACAAAGTAATTTGAGATGAGGTTGGGAGTGTTCGGGGTGGTGTGGCTGTAGACTTCTTTTTCTTTTTTTTTTTTTTTTTTGCGGTACTGGGATCAAACTTGGGACCTTGTACTTGCCAGGGTTCCTGTGCAAAACTAGAGCACAGTATTTAGTTCTTTTTGAAGTTGATTCACTTTTAAGTAAAATTTGTCTTTTTATCACTCATGATTGGAAAGCCAATAGCTATCAGTTATGCACATTATAAAGTGTTCATGCTTCTTGTCTTAGAAGCTATCAGAATACAATGGAATGATTTATCTCCAATTTTTTTTTCCTTTTGTGACTGTCTCAGCCCACCCTGGGGGCAGGGCTGGCGCAGCATGTGGTGCCAGAGATTAAAACCTCAGTCCCTGTGCTTTCTAAAGTGCCCTAAGCAGGCACTTTAGACTGCTGAGCTATCTCACTGGCCCTGTCTCCAAATTTTGACCTCTGCTTCTTAATAGTTACTGTGTTATATAGTCTTGAACAAGTTTTTCTTTTTGAACTTAAATCTTACCATTTTGAAAATTTTGTTTAATAACTTGGTGACTAGCTTTTTTGCATAAGCAAGGGGAGAAATTATGCTCAAGGTACTGAATTAATGTTAACAGAATTTGTAGACTACAAGATAATTTTAAGTGAGTAACCAAATTTGAACTTGGCATTATTGACTTAAATTATGTTGGTCATTAACTTATAAACTTAAACCCAGGTACCCTCAGTGTTTACATATGTTAGAACTGCTCCAATATGAACACTTCCGAAAGGAGCTGGTGAATGCTCAGTGTGCGAAATTCATTGATGAACAGCAGATTCTACACTGGCAGCACTATTCTCGGAAGCGGATGCGTCTTCAGCAAGCCCTGGCAGAACAGCAACAGCAAAATAACACATCAGGAAAATGAACAGCTGGAAAACAGCTCAGGGTCTTAAGACATGTATATAATGTATTTCATTGTCCAATGAAATGACTCTTCTTCCTGTCTACCTTTACTGTGGTAGCACCTGGAACCTTTAATGTACTTTCAAGCCAACTTTTTTATTGTTAGACTTGTTAAACCAGAATTATTCTACTTTGATTACCCTGTGAATTTGTAAGTTTTTATTAGCATTTAAGAATTAATTGGAAAGAATGGACTTGTTAGGTGCTCTGGACCTGTTCAAGGAGATACTGGGCATGGCAGAAGAGAGGACCACTAAGTTTACGAAACTCTAAACTTATTACTTGTTTCTGACATACAACTAGTGCCTTGGGCAAGTCTATCTCTTGGAACTTACTGTCTCTCACATCAGAAGTCCATGTGTCTTACCTACAGAATAAGAGTACTGGAGTCAAGGATCTCTTATGTCAGAGCAGGGACTACAGGATATAAACATTTTGATAGTCTGCAGAAAAGGACATACCTGTGTTACCCTTGCTTTGTAAGATAGCTTTAAGAAAGGATCATTGGTATGTCACTGAGCTAGTTTTGTTCTGTTTGTTTTTTGTGGTACTAGGGATCAAACTCAGTACCTTGTGCTTGCCAGGCAGGTGCTTATACCAATGAGCTATCTCCCTGGCCCTGTCACTGACCTCGAGATGGAGAGAGAAGACTGGTGATAAACTGCTAATTGCTTTTGAGCTTAAATTAAAACAAAGATAAGGCACCTCAAACGCTTCTGCTTATTAGGGAAGGTAAACATTCACTTGGCCAGTACCAAAATCCAGATGCTACATTGTTTCCATGCATTCTCATTTTTTTTCCCCCACAGAATTACCTTTCTTTGTAAAGAAGGAAACTGAGCACTAGACAGCTTCAGTAACTTTATTTGTGGTTATACATCTAGTAAGTGGTAGAATCAATGTGTCCGACTCACAAGATGAAGTTCTTCCCCCCAACTAGGTTTTCTAGTATTCAGCCCCCTTTCCTCTTCTGCCTTATTGCAAATGAAGCACATTCAGACAGCTGTAAAATCTGCATGATCTAAGCAGACTTCATTAGGTATGCTGTATTTTTCCCTTAGTATTTCAGTGCAGTTCTACATTCTAAAGGTAAGAGGTTTTAGGAATATTAATTGCTTTGAAAATTTATGGAATTTAAGGGAAAAGATCCCTATTGCCTCAGATTTGGAAGAGTTATCAAGGCACTATTGTGAGCTTTTAGTTGTCACCTCCAGTTTATCCCTTTGAACTATTACTGCTATCCTTCAAAACTTAATTCAGTCATATCTTTGGGATACCATATGTTACAAGCCAGATGAAGATTCATATTTAGAATAGCATTCTTTATTGCTTAGACATACTGATTTAACACCATTTATTGACAACAAGAATTCAAAGCAAGTACACAATTTCTTTTATACTAGAGCAAACCATGAAATCAAGACACAATGTCACCATCAAATCTTAATCTTCAGAGAACAACATTTCCACAAGGTTGTCTTGAAGACACTCAGATTCTACCAGTTTTTGAGGCTGTAAGGAAAGAACAGTCAGGTCTTAACCACTGTTATGAAATGTTAGAATGAATGAATGAATGAAGTGAGTTCTATTGTGATGACACTAATCTTAGAAATTTTGCCATTTAGAAACTATCAACTGGTTATAACAAGTTTATGAAATAGTTATTTGCTCCAGGATGAATCATTAAAATACTTGGCTGAAAACAGCAGGAAGCTGAAACAGGAGACAACAAGCCCAGTGTCATCTCTTTTCCTTCAGCTCTTTAGTATTCTAAGGGCAGGAGATGCCTTTTCAACTTAAATAATGGTTTAAGTAGGAAACAATCCATGCAAGTGCTTTAAGAAGTTAAGAAGTTTGTGGCTGCAGAATTGTTAAAGTGGCTTACAGGCATGAAAAAAAACCTATGATTTATTTGTATTATTAATAGTTTACTGGGATTGTTCAGGGCAGGACAGCCAAGATACATGTTTTTGAAAAGTAAGGTGAAACTTCATACCTTTCAAATATGACTAGAACAAATTAAAAGGATTCAGAGAAAATTATAGCCCCAACATAAAGATACTTACTGTTCCATATTTCAGTAGTGTAGGCACTGCAGTTATTTTCAGTTTTTTTCTGAAATCATTATTTGGATCTTTCCAACTATGCCAAAAAGAAAAAGTGATCAAGGAAATTCTTGATTTATTACAGTTTTGCTTACTATTGCATTTTCGTATTTTGTAAACATTTAAAAAATCGTAAAAATTATAATTTGTTACCCTCTGTAGAGTTTTTAATTAAACTATGACTAACATAAAAGGTAAACCAGTTAAGTTTTCAGCTTACACTAGGACAAATTTTTTGGAATTACCTTCAAGTAGCTGAACATTCACTTTGTAAATTTCAATTTAAGAGGTTTTATTGTTTATCAGGCATTACCTTAGAACACAGAACCTGAGTAAATCTGTAAAGCCTTTCCCACCTGTTTGCAAGAGTCTAGTCATGTCTGTGAAGCAGCACACTTTTGTCACTTACTACGATTTTTCTCCTACTTGGCAGTAGATGAACACACATCCTTCACTAACGTGCTTCAGCCCCGCTCGAACGACTGGTTCAGCTGTTTAAAAATTAATACAATTACACATCAATTCTACAGTCTCCTTTCTCCCCCAAGACTTGCTAAGTACTCAGACTTTAGCCTCCAAGTTAGACTTTGAGTTAGCTCAGAAGTTACAGAAGTCGGGGTGCTCTCTTTGGGTCTCCGAGTCTCTTTTTAAGAGCAAACGCCAAGTCCAAAATCTGATTGTCCCCGTGTCACACTCCCAGAACAATGGATAGCGTAAATATTTGTTGACTAAAAGGAGACCAACGCATCCTGTAAGAAACGGCTTTGGGGAAGTGAAGTTTTAAAGAAACATTACAAAATGGTCTGAATCGGATGGTAGAGGTGCAGCACCCGCGCGCGGCAGGGCGAGGAGGGACTTAACGGGAAGTTGAGAGCCCCAATACTCCGTGGCTCTCCCCGACCAAGCTCCCCCGGCTCTGCTGCTTCACCCAGCGTTCCGGCCGTAGGCGCCTCCTTCCAGCTCTGGATAGTAACCCCCGAGTCCAGGCCTTACCTTGCACGCAGTCAGGGCACCAGCTTTTTCCTTCAGCATCCTTAGAACCGCTAAAGTAGGCGAAAATGGTCTTGCCCCGGTGCTGCTCCACAGCCCGGTTAAATTCCTCAAAGCCGGACACGCTCACCTCCTCGCAGGCAGCCATAGGGACGGCACACAACTTGGGGCTAGAAGAGCCCTTTAGGTCCCGCCGCTAGAGGGCGGGTCCACGTAGGGTGGGAAGAAGCCGTTTCCGGGTGACGACGGCCGGGCGTATCTTTCCCTAGAGCGCCTAGGTGGTGCTACGGAAGCCTATGCAGGCCATAATTCATCCACATTATCTTCCTGTTTTTAAGCTCTTTCAGTGTTTGTTTTCCTCTCCAAACCAAACTTCTAAGCCTTAATTTGGTTCTGGTTTCGGGCCCATGGACACTGGCTGCAAAACTTGCTGCTATGCGACACCCAGAATCTTACGTGGCTCGGGAGGCTCAGCGGCTCCCAGCCCACATTGCGCCTGTTGCTATGACGACTGGGCGAGTGGCCGGAAGCGAGGCCTACTCTACCCCCCCTGCCCGCCTCCCGGTAGCCGTGCCTCACCCCAGGCCAGGTGGGCTTGGGTCCGGGTGGGGGTGGGGGATTCCTGGAAGCGGAATTAGACGTCATGAACCTGGGGGAGAGGAGACCTTGAATCAGGCAGACCGTGCGCCTCCGTTCCCTCAATTACCTTTTCTCCTGTCTAGTTTCAGGGGGGTCTAAGACTTGGGGGCGGGCGCCCGAGGCTGGGCGGGGGGGGGATTGGGAGGCTGGGAAGGAGAGAAAGGCTGCGAGGGCCAGAGCCGAGTGTGTGAGTGTGCGTGTGGAGCAGTCCAGGGTTCCCGATACTAAAACAGAAAATGCCCCGGGGCTTCTTTGCCAAAGGGAATTGCCCTGGAGCTATGAGCGGGACATCTGGCCCCGGGGCCTTACACAGGCGGCGCCAGGGCGAGCTACTGGCAAAGATGCCGGGACGCTGTGTAGGGCTCAGAAGATCCGGGTGGCTGTGGGAAAGGAGATGGGGTACAGGGACATCCCGAGGCAGTGGAGCAAAGCGCCGGGCAAAGTCTTCGATATGGAAGACACGCTGTAAGAGTGCAGAAAGGCTGCAGGGCTGTCAGCGATCGTGGGGGAAGAGGCAGGCCGCGGAACCTGCTGATGCGGCTGCAGAGAACGAAGCTTTGGGGACGTCTGAGACTGCAGGTTCCATTGAAGCTGCAAGGGATCCCCAGGCTGTGTGGGTTAATGGGACTGTGGGCGAGCCTGAGGTGGTGGGGCCTGCTGGGTCTGTGTGGGTAACCAGATCTGGGGTAGAGGAGGCAGACCGTAGCAGTCCCCAGGGCTGTGAAAGAAAAGGTCGCCCAGGGACGATGGGGCATGAAAGCATTCTGGAACTGTGGTTGAAGGTACAGGCTATGAGGGCAGCTTCAGGATATGGGGTAGGAAGCAGAGTAGAACTCCATCCTGTACCTGCAGAAGGGTCAGTTGAAAGAGGTCTCCCTGGCCGGGCTTCCTGGATAGAAACAAGCCCAGGTGGTGTGACAGGACCGTGGGTGAGAGGACAGGCTACCATATTCCCCCAGGTCTCAGGACTCTCCGCAGCCACTGCAGTCCGACCCGGTTGTGAGAGAGCCTCAGGGTCCTGTGGGTATAGACAGGCTGAGAAGGTTCCCCCTGTGGTTGCTCTTGGAGCTGTGGAAGAGGTAGGCTGCGCACCTACCCCGAGTTCTTGGGAAAGACCACAGATCGTAGGGCAGCCTGAGGCTTTGGAGGTGAAGATAGGCTGTGGGACTGCATCAGAGAAATGGTGGAGAGGACAGTCGGTGCAGGTTCCTGGCACTGTGGCACAAGAGGCAGACTGTGGGGATACCACAGGCATATGGGGACGGGGACAGGCTACAGGGAACCTTGGTGCTGTGGTGGTACCAAGAGCTGTGGAGGAGGAAACTACATCTGTGGATGTCCCAGGCATGTGGCAGAGAAGACAGGAGGTAGAAGATGTAAGCTCTGAATGTCTCTCTGGAGTGTGGGGCGCGGAGCAGCCTGTCGGGGTGCCTTGTGTTACTATGAAAGAGGAAACTAGATGTGGGGATGAATTGGGATTCAGGGGAAAGGAGCAGGCTATGTGGCTAGAATCAGGCTCTGGTGATGACCAAGCATCATGGGAAGCTGCACAGACAGTAGAACCGTCTGGTCCTGGGGAGCAGGAGGCAGGTTCTCAGCAGGTACCACAGGGCCTGTGGGGTATAGAACAGCCTGTGAGGGTACCTAGGACTTTGGGGAAGGAGACAGACTGTGTGAGCGTCCCAGGGCTGTGGGGAACAGGACAGCTGCCAGGAGTGTCCCAGGCTGTGGTAGTACCGGAAGTCAGGAGTGAAAACACCAACTATAGTGTTGTCCCAGACCTATGGGAGAGGCCACAGATTCTGGGAACTCCTCCAGCTGAGATAGTGGAAGAAACATATAGTGGGGATGTCCTGAGCCTACCGGAAATGAGGCAGGCCATGGGGCCAGAGGATGTGGTGCCTGGAGCTTTAGGGACAGCTGGGCCTACTGATGAAGAGGCAGGCTATCAGGCCATGTCATGTCTGTGTGGGAGAAGACAGGCTCTTGGAATGTCTGAGACAGTGGGGATGTCCAAGGCAGCAGGTATGGCCAGGCACAAATATTCCCCAGTAGGAGTATCCACAGCTCTGGGTACACTCAGATCTGGAAGGATGCCTGCCAGGGTGCCTGACCCTGTGTGGGTGTCTGGCCCTGAGTGTCAGGAAAGCAGCTCTAGAGATGTTTTAAATCTGTGGGAGAGAGCTCATACTGTCAAGATGCCTGTAGATTCAAGGGCAGCAATGGCTCCTGAGGAGCCGTGGTCTGTAGAAGGGGATACTGGTTCCCAGGGAAGGAGACAGGCTGTCAGGGTCCCAGTGGCTCCTGAGGCACCTGGTCCTCTAGTAGTAGAGACAGGCTCCAGAGATTTCTCAGGCTTACCAGAAAGGAGACACCCTGTAGAAATACCTGTGACTAGAGGGTTATCCCTAACTGGTGGGAGACGTGTGGCTTCCAGAATGCTTAGGCCTTTGTGGGAAGGAAGTGGCTCAGGCTCGAGTGGGGAGAGACAGATAGATGACAAAAGTTGTACAGGGATGGGAGTATCCACTTCTGCCAGGATGCCTGGGCCCGTGGGGGAGGGGCCTGGTTCTAGATGCATCTCAGCCTTGTCAGGGCACAGGCAGACTACAGGAATGTCCACAGCTATGGGACTCTCTGAACCTGTGGTGGAGGAGACCCTCTCTGAGGGTCTCTTGGGTTTATTAGGAAGAAGACAGACTACTGGGATGCCTGTGGCTGCTAGACTTCCTGTGGCCCTCGGAGTGCCCACAGCTTCTCAGGTGCATGGGCCCCAGATGGTGGGGGAAAGTGCGTCTGGGAATGGCTCAGGCACATGGAGAAGGAGGCAAGTCACTGAGGCTTCTACTGCTGCCAAGGAGGGGGAGACAGGCTCTGAAGGTACCTCAGGCCTGTGGAGAAGGAGGCATGATGGATCCTTCCCTGAGACTGCGAGAATGTCAGTGCCACTGGGAAGGAGTGGAGCCGTAGGAGTTCCCCTAGCAGGGCGTGTGCCTGCTGCAGTGTGGGTGACTGGCTCCTCAGGAGAAGAAGCAGATGTGGGTATCTCAGGCCTGACAGCAGTAAGCAGTCAGTCCACGGAGGGAGGGGAACCTTCAGGGGACCAGACTGGAGATGGAGGTATCCTGGGAGTAGCAGGAAGGGGCCAGGCTGTAGGGGTATCTTACACCTGTGGGCATGGTGCCAGGTTCTGGAGCTGTGCAAGGTCCATGGGGGAAGAAACAGCCCATGAGAATGTTTCCCGAGTGTCTGGGATAAGAATGGCTGTGGCGGTGCCCCCAGTTTCAAGGGAGGAAATAGGCCCCAGTCATTTTAGAGACCATGCTCAGCAGAGTGGGAGGAGACAGGTCAGAGAAGTGTCAGGAATCAGAGCAAGGGGCAGTGATTTGAGAGACAGTTGTGTGGGGGAAGACACACCAAGGGGGGTGTTCTAGTAGTACTGTAGGGAACAGGTTGGGGATGTCCTGGGAGCTGTGGGAGGGAACAGGTTGGGGGTAGGTTTGTCCTGCATTGTTATTAAAAGCACAAGTTGTAGAGATGTCAGGATGGGGGGAGGGTACTTTGCGAAAATGTCTCAGTATATATAGGGTGACAAGCTAGGAGGTTTCCTGGAACAGTGGGGAAAGTGGCTAATTGTGAGGAGAGAGGGATCCCAGGACTTTGAATGGGGGGAATAGTTAGGGGTAGATGTCCCTAGTCAGTCTGTCTCTCTCTCTCTCTCTCTCTCTCTCTCTCTCTCTCTCTCTCTCTCTGTGTGTGTGTGTGTGTGTGTGATCACTCAAGGTATCCAAGAACTCTGGGGATCATGTAGTTTTTTCCATCGGATAATGGGCATTTGGGCCTTTGTCATATAGAAGCATCCAGGGAAAAGTACTGGCTACATAAAAGTTGCAGGTGCTCTGGCCTCTACAACCTCAACCTTTCTGCAGCTTCACTTTTGACTTGTGGTGAGGTCAAGCCAACTGGGATTGGCTCATTCACATGGCTCCTCCCATCTGCCATTTGAATCTCGTCTCTGTAGTATTGGACCAGCTGTCTTTAAGACAGATAAATCTGTCTTCAAGCAATCCAGTCTGCAAACCTTGGATTTATTCAAAGGCTCATTTTAGGGATTTTTTTTTTTTAACCTTGAATTTCCCAATTGATTTACTATAGGAGTCTCTGAGAGAACAAATTCTCCAGTGTATTTAAAACTAGTCTGTTCTCAGAAAATCAGCTGAACACTATGGCTGTTGAGTTAAATGGTCTACCATGCTCAGAGTACTGTGTTGTGGGAAACTGAAGAGCAAGGAAGGCCCTTAAATCTCAAGGAACCTCGTCTCACTGGCAGGATGACACGTATTCCTGTGAAATAGGTAAATAACAGATAACACTGTGATGAGCACCTAACTGGCAGGGTTACTGAAGTGTATGAAGCCTTCAGGAAAGGAGCAGTAATGCTAATGGCAGAGTTCCTTTCAGTTTACTAAATGCTTTTAATATCTGTGTTCTCATTTGGAATATCTCTGTAGTGTAAGAGAATATTCAAGGCTTCTCAGCTAGTTAATGGCAGATCCTGGTTTAAGTCTAAGTGTTCTGATTACTTGGGTTTATTTAGAGTCACAGAGTCCCGTCCTTTGGGCCACTTGACGGAGTGAAGCATACTGCTTTTTTTGATAGGCGCTAGTATTTATAAATGAAGGATGCCTCTCCATGTAACTGCCCTGTTATTGAAAGTGTTAGTTTGTAATAGCAGAGATCTGTTGTAGCAATGATGTCCTCCTGGAGACTCTGGAGGGTTGAAATTTGGAATAAAAGGACCCAAGAGATTGTTTTTGTAACAGTGTCTCACCCAGTTTTTTGAAAATGAGAATTTTGGGGCTGGCGAGATAGCACAGTGGTCTAAAATGCCTGCTTAGGCAAGATTAGGCAGGCACAGGACCACGGTAGGATCCTTGGCTCTGCATGCAGCGTCAGCCCCAACACCAGGGTGGGCTGAGCAGGCAAAAAAATAAAAATAAAAAATTCAAAGGTGTGATCGTGTTTTATAACTGGAAGAAACTCATACCTGTCTCTAAGTGATCGCTTTTACCATGCAGTTGCTATGGGTTACTTCTAGAGTAGTATTATATGAGCATGATACTGTGTTTTTTATCTGCTATCCAGTTTGGAGCCTGTTGATGTGAATGCAACTTTCATTTTAGAAATGGTGTCATTGACTGCTTCCCTGATGACAAGGTCTTCACTGCTATTCTACACTACCTGACATGATGGGTCCGAGCCAGCCAGCTTCCACCTGCGTTCACCTGACATCCTGTACCCAAGAAGATGGGACTAGGGACCCCAGGAAACTTCAGACCCAGGTGGTTTTGCTTTTCTTCAGATGTTTATTATGAAATATTTCAAACACAAAGAAAAAATGAAAGAAGACACTGAACACTTTTGATATCACCTTGTAAATTCAGCAGTTACGTAGCTGGCCGTGGTGGCGCACACCTGTATCCCAGCACTTGGGAAGCTGAAGCAGGTGGATTCCTATGAGTTTGAGGCCAGCTTGGGCTACATAAAAAGTTTAAGGTCAGCCTGGGCTACAAAATGAGACCCTGTCTTTAAAAAAAAAAAGCAAAGAAGTTCAGCAGTTGTTAGCAATTTGTCCTATTTTCTTATCTTCCCAGCCATCTCTAAAATTCTTGGTGAACCATGTCACAATACCAAAGTAAGTAGCAGATCTCATAACACGTTACTTTTAGATATTTAAGAATACTTGTAAAAACCCTAGTACCATTATTACACCTCAGACAATTCCCTAAAATTCTCTAATACTCGGTTTTTATTCAGTTTTACTCAGTTGTCCCCAGAATGTCTTTTTCTTAACATGGCATTGTGAAAATCTTTAAACACACAGCAAAGTTGAATTTCACATCAGACACTGATATTCCATGTTTTACTACCTGTGTTTCATTGTCTCCCATTTGATCCATCCCTCCAAGAGATTCATCCATCGGTCCATTATTTTAGCAAGTCATAGTCAATTTTAGATGTGATATAAGTGTCCTACTTCTGTATACTGTATGTTTTTCTTCTTTGCTTACCTTTTTTTTTTTTTTTGTGGCACTGAGGATTGAACTCAGGACCCTATGCTTGTCAGGCAGGTGCTTATTCTACTGAGCTATCTCCCCAGCCCATCTTTTTTTCTTTTGACGTGAAAAAACTTCTCAGTAAGAGCAGATCCCAGTTGTTAAGTCTTTCAACTGTTTCCCATGCGATTTGATTTCTGTCCATGAACTCTTTGCCTACCCCTGTGTCTTCAAGAGTTCCTCCTACTTTCTCTTCCAGGAGATTTAGTGTCTCTGCTTTAATGTTTAGATCTTTAATCCATTTTGACTTGAGTTTAGTGCATGGTGATAGACTTGGGTCAAGTTTGAGTTTTCGGCATGTAGAGAGCCAGTTTTTCCAGCACCATTTGTTAAAGAGGCTATCTTTCTTCCAGTGAATATGTTTGGCCCCTTTGTCAAAGATAAGGTGGCTGAGAGTGTTCGTAGGGGCTTCAGTGTCTTCTAATCTATTCCATTGATCCTCAGGTCTATTTTGATGCCAGTACCATGCTGATTTTATCACAGTAGCCTTGTAGTATAATTTCAAGTCAGGAATGGTAATGCCACCTGCCTTGTCTTTATTGCCCAGAATTGCCTTTGCTATTCTAGGTCTTTTCTGGTTCCAGATAAATTTTAGGAATGATTTCTCTATGTCTATGAGATATGTCGGTGGTAGTCTGATAGGGATTGCATTAAATCTGTACAGCAATTTTGAGAGTATGGCCATCTTCACAATGTTGGTTCTTCCTATCCAGGAGCATGGGATATCTTTCCATTTTCTGAAATCCTCTATGATCTCTTTTTTAAGAGTACTATAATTTTCCTTGAAAAGATCTTTGACTTCTTCATCTTTTTTTCTTTTGATACAGATTTTACATTAAAAATGAGTACATTGAAGGGCTGGGGAGATGGCTCAGTAGAATAAGTGCTTGCTCGGCAAGTGCAAGGGCCTGAGTTCAGTCCCTGGTTCCACACCCCCCCCCCAAAAAAAAAATGAGTACATTGAAATGGTATATCTTGTCATATTTACTGAGTTTTGATAAATACATGCACACATAACTCATACCTCTGTGAAGATACAGATCGTTTATGTTACCCTAGAAAGTTCTCGTATGATTGCTCCTAAATAGTCCCTACTCCTAGCCTTTGGAAAACACCATTATTTTGTTTTCTTCATCATGAATTAGTTTCTAGAACTTCATATAAATGAGAACATGTAATACAACTTCTTGCAAGAGGTTTCTTTTACTAATTAGAAAGATTTTGAGATTCATTTCAATATATTGAATTATCAGTTTCTTTCTTTTTAGTCCTTTTTAGTAGTTCCATAGTATGTACCAGTTTGTTCATGCATTCTTTAATTGTGGGACAACTGGCTGTTTCCAGTTTGGGGTTATTGTTTTTTGGGGGGGAGTTATTGTATGTAGGAAGCTACTATGAACATTCTTGTACAGATCTTTTGTTGTGTGTGCATGTGAGATTGAACCTAGGCGTTATGCATGCTGGGTAAACGCTCTATCACTCGGATGCATCTCCAGCCCTTTGTATTTTTTATTTGAGACAGGCTCTGCCTAAGTTGCCTAGGCTGCCATCAAGCTTGTGATTTTCCTGTCTCTGCCTTACGAGCAGCTGTTGTTATCAGATTATACCACCACATTTGGCTTCTATAGATCTTTTTATGAACACATTTCCATTTCTTTTGGATAAGTAACCTAAAAGTGAAATTAACTGGGTCATGAGGTAGGTGTACATTTAGTTCTTTTTTTTTTTTTTAAGTAGAAATTTGGAATTATTTTATTTATTTATTTATTTATTTATTTATTTATTGTGTGTGTGGCCAGCTCAGCCCACCAGGGGGCGGGGCTGGCTGGC